TTTGACTTCTGTAGATGAAAAGTGTTGAAAAACTTTTTACCGAATACAAAAACACCAGACTGTATGAACAATTGTTTTAAAATTGTTTAAATAATAACCATAAAACGTCTGTGTCTGTTTAGCAGTAAATTGCGATTTTTACAAGTTGATCATCAGAGTTACTCCCCTTTTGTTAGATGCGATTGGGTCACCTGACTGTGCTGAACGTTTTAATGAACCGTAAACTTTTGATGAAAAAATAATAAAGTGAAAGTAAAGTGCTGTTGTTTCTGTTACAGTTATGCGTTTATCTAGTTAGATATTATCTAAATCAGTATATTTGCTCCGAGCACTGGTCTACGCATAAATGGTCTTACATCTGGTATATATTTCCACTTCACAAACAACAAGATACCATTCGTCAACGTTCTGTGGTTTTGGTCGTCTAAGTGTTATATACCGACCGAGTATTCCTTGTGGTAACGTCACTATTACATCACTGGCATTCTCTGATGTAAATTTACCGAGCACAGGGTTGTTAGTACCATTTGCAAATATTTCCAACCCAGTTACATGTCTGTTGTCTGGGAATAAAAGAAAACATATTGAAGACTAAACGACATATGACAGTATGACCTTTGGGATTTCAAAGCAATATGTTCGTATAGCAAAACAGTATACATAATAAATATAGTATAATACAAACAAAATTAGAACAACGGAGACGGTTTACAATCCTTTGCAGGTTGAGACATCTTGATATCTAACTTAAAAAAACGCCTCCGTGGTCGAGGGGTTAGAGTCGATGACTTCTGATCCAGTTACTTCTCTGGCGTGGGTTCGATCCCCGGGAGATGCTTCGGTAGTTTAGCGCGAAGGAACGTAGCCTAGTACTGGTGTAACTCTCCATGAACGATGGTTAGGAAACTACCCGCCTATATGACTGAAATACTGTTGGGAAAAGGCGTAAAATGAAACAAACAAACAAACAAAAAAATACAAAAAAATACAGTACTACTGAATTCCGTATTCATAATATCATTTTCGAAAAGAATCTTATTGTTTTATGACATAAAATTGCGGTTTATATCATCGAACTTTGGATTCAACGCGCGAGGCGTGCCTCAGCGTTACACTTGTACATCTGACAAACAACCACAAGTTCGGATCATAAAAAAATGAATTTAAATGATATCTTAAAGTAATATTTTATAGTGAAAGACAATGATAAACTTAAAATAAAGAACGAAGTAGCAGAGTTGTATCAATTTGGATAACAATAGCAGATGGTACTTTATTTGTTATATCTAAGAGTTACAATTTGCAATAATTTGTATGTTTTATATTCAATTATTGTCTCAAAGGATAAAAGTCCTAAAGTAGGATGTAGTGTGTTTGCATTAAAGGGATATTTAGGCAAAATAATGACAAAAATATTAAAATGATATTATGTACTCAAATCACGCTAAAATGACATTTCTTGAAGTTTCAGTATGAATTCCTGTTTAAATTCTATATATTTTGGGTTTGAAGCGTAAATATATCTATATAGGTTGAACAAAATTTAGACCCGAATATAATCACCAAATAGGTTTAAAACAAGTCACGTGACTTGAACAAACCCTTGAAGTTACAATAACAGATATTGTGGATATTGTATGGTTGAAACAAGTCTAAGTCATTCATTTGACATGTTCTTTAACGTTTCCAGAGTTCAATTTGAAAACTATTGTGAAATCCTAGCGCTCTAACCTGACCCACGCGGGTCAAGTTAGGGAACCACCATTTTATTCTTTATAGGGAGAAAAGTTTTGTTCCTTTGACTGTCTAATATATTCATTTTGAGGGCATTTACAGAATAATGAATGAAAAAATCAAAACTAAGAAATGAAAATTTTGCCTGCGTCTCCCTTTAAATTATTGGTTGCTATAATACAGAAAATAATAAAACATTATCTAAGCTTTGCCTATGAACTTACCGTCATACGCCGATAATTAAAGCGATTACATGGCACACATGGTTTCAATCTAAGTAAACTGAAGATCCATATACGAAAGGATTTGGTAAAATTCTAGATTTTTCCTATTCCTAGTTATTTGAAAGGAAGATAATATTTCTAGTTAAAATATTTTGTTTTTAATTTTAGTTCTTTCTATGTTGAATGCTGTAGAAAATGATTGCATTGAAAGGAATTCAAGAGGTGTCATCCTGCCATCACTGGGGTAAAAACAAAACATTTAAGAATACTGAGTGAACATTTATATAAAAAATCGCGTTCTTTTATGCAGGAATTAATTCGAAACACGTGTAAGTCAGTTTTCGGAAAATACGAAATTCGTGACGTTTTCTGGTTTAGCGATGCAATCATATCACAAGATAGTAGTCGTTTTGGTAGACATAAAACAGACACATTTTGTAAAATTTGACGACATTCCCAAATAACCTAAAATTTGAGTATTTCACTGATATTAAAGTGCGCTTTAAATTTCACTTGAGTCAACTCATTTTAAGTCTCAACGTGAAGTCAAAAACAAAACCTCACAAATTGAATATAAGTCAAATCGGACATACTGAAGTATATCTAGTATGATAACACAATTTATAATGTAAAACATAAAAATAAATAATGGCCCGGGGACATATAAATAAATTCTGTAAATTAAAAGTTGCCGTCATCAATTTCAATATAAATGGGGTATTCTCTAAACTTCAAAAAACAGTATCTTTTTGAAACATACTTCTTTTCTTCTCATGACATTCCGCACCCCACCAACATTGTTCGGACATTAATACATGTACAATTACTATTTTCATTTTTTTATCTTTCTTAAACAAAGACAATGACAATTAACATATTTATCAATATACTAAATAATTCGGGGCATTTACATTATTTATTCAAACTGATTATTGTTTGCTCTTAGTCAAGAGACGATTTACTCTTTTCAACTTTTTTTAAAATCTATAGACAAAAACTAATTTTATAATTTACAATTTCATAAATACGAGAATAAGCACTTCTACAATAATTAAAACAATAATTTCTTAAACAATTTTTTTAATTCAAACGAAAAAAATACAACACAATGATCAGATAATATGTTTGGGTCCAATGCTGTGGAGATTTCAACCCGTCCACTTAAGATATGACCATTAAATGCATTACCTCCGCTTAGAAGAGTGTCCAAATAAGCTAGAACTACTGTTATCTTCAATGAAACTTAGGGCCGTGAGTCCCAACCCCATAAGGGTCTACTTATTTTTTCTCTCTCTTTTTTTTAATTTAATTTTTTTTGTTGTACGTCTCATATTCCTTTTGGGAAGTGAAAAGTGTTAAATTTTAATTACTTTATTAATATAGGTATTTATTGGCTAAAATATGCTAAATCTAATAAATATTGTACCTGATATTTTCAAAGTGTAATAAAAACAAAACTAGGCAGTAAAAGTCTTTAATATTTTTCAAGATTAACCAATAGATTTTAAAGAAAAAGGAAACTTTGAAAACTGGCACTCATTTTGGTATTTTTAGGTTTTTTTTAAATAAGGCCTTCTAAATAGAAAATGGTCAAACACGTGTTAAAAATAAGTAGGGTAAAATTGATATACAAATTTCGTACATTTTGAGTAGCAACAATCATTTTGCTTATTTGGATTGTCAGCTGAATGTTAATTTTTGTTTCCTACCAAAACATCGTTGAAAAACATTTTTCATAAGGATAATATTGTAGATAGCCAAAACACCAATGCATTGAGAAGATTGTCAAAATTTTTGTATGACAGTTTTAGACTAAGAGAAGAAAGTTTAAATATTTTAGCTGCTTCATAGTAAAATCTTTGTATTTCAAAAGAATATAGATATAATACCACTATTATCATAATCAAGAATTTTTGTTCAGTTCGCACATAACTCATTAACTTGTGATTTTGTATTGTATGAATTGCAAAATTGTAAATATATTGTCTTGATCTTTATTTGTATGTATGTTTGTATATATATGGCCAAAGGTTTTTGTACTGATTTGCCAATAAACTTTGAAACTTTGAAACTTTGTAGATTATGAGTATTTAAAGGTCCCTTATCTCTCAAAATGGGTATTTTAACACCCCAGCTTAAGTTTCTGTAAAGTGACAATGACTCGATTCGCGCAAGGTAAAATTTGTTTAAATTTTGCATACGGGTGTTATCTGAAATATGTTGTCAATTTTCCAGTTCCTTATAGCGCCCGTTTGTGTGGACATAAACCGGTCAGTTTACACAAATATGAAAATAAATAAGCTTTATTGTTATTTTGTATCAGGCAAAACAAATGTACACATGTTTAAGACTATCGTATACAACAAAATCTTGCTTATCGAAGTTTGTGAAGTTTATGTCGCAGCACAACAGCGGATTGAAATAACTTTCATGTTTTGAATCAATGCAGTACTATAATCAATCAGTCTGTCAAAAACATTAGAATAAATCATTGACTGTCGACTCTTATTGTCTGGTAAACGAAACAAAATTTAACAGATCACTGTCTCGAAACAATTTTTTTACATATAATATCATCACTAGTTTTAAAAACAGATGTATCAATTGGAATATACGTATTCCGAATATAGATTATTCCACCAAACGTATTGTTTTGCTTGATCACATTTTTATACAATACGTCAACGTTTAAGTCAGATGACATATCTGTCTATGTTTCAAGAATAAAATATTGTCATTATTTTCAAAAAAATATTTTTAACTTCCGGCAAAATTAATTTATTTGTCCTTTTAAATGGTATTAAGGAAAGAATATCCAAAAGGTTATGCATGGAAAAAATCCTATCTCAATGTTTAAAATGAAAAATAAATGGAAATCAACAAAGAATAGTTCATCATAAAAAAGGTATAAATCTTCCATCGGACGAAAAAAAAAGAGTAAAATACTTCAGAAAGAAAGGTAATATGAAACGCAACTCGTTCACTTATCCTCGCGATTCTTTTATTAGAATAAAAGTGCTTCAACTTAGCACCTTTTGTATTTATGTTTCATAAATCGCTGCTGTTCACGATAGACTAGAGTACTTGACGGATACTGGCTAAGATTACATAAAGATTGATACTTAATTGCTCTCACGTGTGTAGTAAAATGATGAATAATTTCATCCGGACAATGGAACACAATCTATATAGATTCTATATTTATATATATATAAAAGACTTACTTCTATAATCATCATTTCTACCAGCAACATGGATTTGAAATATCTCATGTACTTGTAGGAGATCAACAGTTATCCATGGGTTTATCTCGTCAGTAGAATGGCTGCAGCAATGACAATAATTTGCATCACGACGTGGATTACCATCTATACATTTATCAGCAGTCATATCACCATAGTGTGTTGACATTGTTGCGTGTTTATCAGTCGCGATGTTTGACACTGTAATATATGATTTTTTTACACACATTAAAACCAGGTAATATAGAACACACCAATGGTTTAATAAAACAATTTTAGATGTTCGAAATATGAATTCTACAAAACAAATCATAAAAAAGAAGAAAATAACACATATTCCAAAATTTAAACTAAAAAGGCATATTGTAACGTGTTTCAAATTGCAATAAATATACTGCAGTACTGTTTAACGTGTGATTTTATACAACTTCGTCAAATATCATAACGTTCAGATTTTCCTAAACTTAAGATAATAAAATAATGTGAATATAATGTAACAGACGTCGACATAAACATTTTTTTTTAATTTTTCTTGCTTTTACAACACTCAAAATACGTATTTACAAACGTGTATGTAAGAGTATGTAAGAGTAGCCCATGCGATTTTATAATTGTATCTTTCTTCAAGCAGTGACATTCGCACAAAATGAACATTAAGTAACATTTAGCTTACTTTGAACAAGAATCTCAACCTCACATAAAACAATAGGTCCAGTAAGAATAGAGCCATCATTCCTTTTGGCCCTGTATGTTCCAGGCACGTCAAGCTTAATAAACCGAAATAAACCCTCTAAGTTCGTTGTTACCGTAATATGACCATGGTTATAATCCTGTGCGGTATTTGTGTATACTATGTTGCTGTCTGTAAAATTTTCGTCTCGTGAAAGATAAAGTCTAAAGCCCTGCAATTGATCTGAAAATAAATACATAATAAACTGCATTTCCTGGCTTTAAGTGGTTAAATGTTTTTCAAAATATATAGAAATGAGTATTTAAAAAACTTGGTTTAAATAAAATTCACTCATAGGGTTGAATAATGCCACTTACTTTTTATTTATTTATAACAAATTAATATGATACTATAATGAAGTGTCTTCAAATTAAACTCCTGTACATGAATTCAATTGCTTTTGAAACAAATTGTGAGTTTACATTTTCATGAGTTTTATTTACAAACGCTACAATTTACCAAAACACTTTGCAAAGTCTACAAAGGCTACATTTATTGAATTTTATCAAAGTGTTTTGAGTGGAGTGGTTAATATCAGTCTGTTGGTTATCTATTACAGTTTTATGTTTACTCATCAATGATGTGAGGCGATTTAGTAATACACGCTTCATGAAATAACCATTCGCGAGAAGACCATTCGTAATAATTTGATTGAAAATGCAGAACATTTCCTTTTAAAGTCGAACAATGAACCAACCACAATCACTTTATAAATATTGCTTTTCAGAGTTCGTATTCGCCCCAGTTTCAGTTCTATTTAGAATAAATCCGAATCCAGGGTGATAATTTCCATGAGCAAACACGTCCTTGTACATTCGTTCACTGTTCAGCAGATATATGATAAATTCTACGTAGTCGCTTATTTCTGTAGGATACTTTAGTTTTTCATACCACTGTTTCGTCATGAACATTTGGAATATGAAGATAAGGTTGTCATTTTCGAATCGGTTCAAAGACGACTCATCATTTTCATAATTATTGACTTTTAAATAAATTGCATATTTTATTGCTTTCATTCCAAAGTTTTTCATTTATCTAGATAAATTTGCTCTAATCTTATAACATACACAAACCTGCATATTTTAAAAACTAAAACTAAAATCAAAGTTAATTATCACTGCTAAAGTAAGACCAGGATGGTATCCTATGGATGGATCGCACATTTAAATCTAAATGACATGTTATGAAGAAATGAATTGTAAAAATAAATTATATATTTTCTATATACTTGTTAAAAGTAATCATTGTTGCCCTAACATTAGTTTTCGTTAATGTTTATTCCTGGGGAAAGCTTAATCTAATGTTGCTAAAACTTGTTGTTTAACCATTTGATTTTTGTTAAATACTTATCATTGGTATTATATTTTCCATGTGTGTGCTGCAATAAAACAACTAAAATCTGGGAATATATTTTGCAATTATGTTTATAAAAATAACACCCATTTAATATTTTGCATCTTCTTGGTAGCCTCCTTTGTACACAGCTTATGTTGTGAATATTTAAATCATAATTACACCACCGAACTCAAAAATGTAAGAGAAACAAAACTATATCAATAGTGAGATCTACAGTAACTCTACTTAGCAATTTTCCACCTTACATATATGCCCTATGCTCAAAACGCAAGATGTTTCTTAAATGAAATAAGATAAAATAACTAAAATAACAATCGCACTGAGAATGGCAATTTTTGTGTAGTCCGTTTTATTTTAACAAATAACTACAGGACGGGTGAACATTTGTCACGAAGCCAGAGTCTGGTAAGAAGGTAAGTCTTTGATAGTGGGTTGTTTCATTCATTTTATAAAAATCTTGCAAGACATCGTTATAGTTTTTCAACACACACTAGGCTGATAAGTTTTGAATATATTTTGCCATCTGATCTAAACGGATCTCAACTCACTAAAGTGTCCGTCGTTCCTTCCCAATACATTGACTTGATGAATCTGAAATAATCCACCAAGGTCAAGCTTCCACCACGGTAAATCACTGACTCCTGATAATGTGAAATGTTTGCTGTTGACATTCTGACATTCTTTTATTCCGTCAACAGCATTTGAAGATGGCCATGTTTCTTGTCCTCCTAACTGTTCAGGTTTCTTCCCAAGCGCTACATTTACTGAAATAATTGAGGATTTTCGTACTTCATGCTTTGTTGGGTAGAAATTTGATGTTGCATAAAAACGCACAGAATTCCGTTTGCTGTGGCATATTAAGCTTTATGTTATCTTTTTTCGTATTACATATAAACATAATAAAGATGTGTATAGGAATATCATCTTAATAAAACAAGCAATTATCATAGTTTTGCAAGCAATCCTTAAGTACCCTACCGGTTAGAACCCAAGCAACATTCTAAAGGGTCATTGGCCATTCTCTAATGTTTCAATTGTTCTCTATTTTAAGTAAATTTGTTGGAAAAGTTTTTTAAAAGTGAACACAGGAAACAGTTTTTATGAACAGACATACGGACTGAAGGACACTCTAACATTAATATTGGAATACCCTGTTACCAAAATATAACATTTTTAAAAGAAAATTCTTAAAGAGGAGATAACTCTTGAAATAAAGATGCAATTTCATAAAAAATTCAGCTCTTTCTAACTTATCACAAATATTGTTATATTTGCCATGTTTTAAGCCTATTTGTTGCCATGGCAACCATTCTTTTGAAAATAAGAAGAAAAGATAAAGGCATGCATAATTTCCAGAGTGCAATCAACCCAAATGTCAAGTTTCATAAAAATATTTCCAGTACTTTTGAGTTATCACTGGATTCAGTTTACGTGTAAAATTTGCCATATTTTCAGTCTATTTGTTGCCATAGCAACCACAATTTTCAACATTGGAAGAAAAGAAAAAGACGCTTAAGTTTCATAAAATATTTCAGTACTTTTGCGTTATCACGGGATCCAGTTTTGTGGACGGACGGACTGACAGACGGACAGACAGACGGGCAGACGGACGGAGGGTAAACCTAAAGTCCCCTCTGGTTAATCGGTAGGGGACTAATAAAATAATTATGATTAAATACGTTACTTTTTCCATACGTTTCTAAGAGAAAATGTTTCATTTCGATCATTTTATTATATTTTATTGTGTACATGTATTATAAACGATACGTGTATTCTATTAGTGACAGGTTATATGGCCCTATATAAACGGCTTTTTGTAAATATAACCCGAGCCGCAAACAGCCGTTTATATACGGTCATATAACCTGTCAACAATCTTTCTAACGAATTTATAATACAGCAAACATCATTTTTAGAGTTAAAAGTAAAATTTCTTCATGAATCGACAGCAGCTATATAAACGTCAAGATTATCCAATGAAAAGCGACGTTACAAACGTACGGTATTATAAATTAAGATAATATACATTTCAGCTACATATAAGCTACATTTGCTATTTGAAGGCAATGTTACCTAAAATACAACTGTTTTCCGTAATAAGCAGTGATAACAGTGTTATACAGTATTGTATCTTCATAATTATTCCACTGTTTGTCTGAAAATAAAGTATTTATAAACACATTGTATAACTAAATCTTTATATTCATATAAAGACGAGTTCACGTTTTGGTTCTACGTTATGCACACACAGAGAACGATTGTGCTTTGCTGTGTGAAAAACGTGGCTAACGTGTGCTGTAGGCTTTTACCAAATTGTTTTTGGTATTTTTGCAAAAGACGCTTTAAGCTACAATAGACGTAAGGATCTTGAAATGAAACAATCCAAATAGCTATGAAAAAGCAAATTTTAATGCGAATAGGCTACTTTGATTTGATTTTGTTAAACTTATAACTTAAGGTGACAACGGAGTCAATTATCACTGAAAATACCTAAAATGAGATTTTTTGCTAAGTAGATTTATCAACCTTTTCTGAACACATTCGTGATTTAATTTTGGAAGCAGTTAGTCCAAAAAATGTGTTTTTAAACGTTTTAAAACGGTACCTATACTATTTGTATCTGCTATTCGCGTAACCTGTCGATTATCGATAACGCTCCGCCCCCTGTTGAGGCATCAATGAGGGAAATCGGTAGTTCCATATATGCGTGAATTACAGGTCCATACTGGTCCATACTACTCGTAATACATGTATCGTACAACTACCGTACATCTTTTATGAATATCTCAACATTTAGCCTTTTTTTATAAATTAAAAAATTGTCGGCCAATGTACGTAACATAATGTATGAAACATAAATAATTAAGCATAGCGGCAAATCGCACGACCACGGGGTTGATTAAAAATGTAGTTGCTAAAATATCCATAATGTGTGAGAATAATTTGTCTGTCCCGTTAATCTGATAGATATTACATTGAGTTGATAGACTTTTGTACGGATTCAAGGGTTTACTTTACATTCAACCTCGTTTTCTAACAATGTCAAGTAAAACAATTAACAACAAAAACAGACAACATTTTTTATGTGAACGCCTATATGACTTGTGGTAAGGTGTCCCTGACAAATTTCTAAACCATTTTAGATTGTCTAAGGATGATTATTTCTCTATGAATAAAAAAAAGATATTAAAATATATTTTCAGTGAAAATAAATTGTTCGCCAGTAAATCGGACACAGTACTAATAAATCTGGGACAAAGTATGAAATTTATTGTCTATCCCGGTAGAAACTGGATCTTTATGCCGTGCATAGATGATATTCATGATAATAGAAGTCAAGAAGGCCAGATCATAATGATCGAGTAATATCTTTTATTTCTATTAAAATTTGTGAAGCATTATCAATTTGGTGGAAAAAAATATATAATATCCCGTTCTTATTTGTACATCTACCATGGACTTTAAAAGACTGTCAGAAGCTCAGTTTTTTGTTATTTTATTTTATATTTTAACGGAATTTCATACACGAATACACAGGCAGAGTGACACTGGTATAATACAATAATAATGCTGATGATACTAATTTAATAAACTTCAAAAAGGAAACAATTAAATACCCCGCTAGCGGTGCGCAATGCGTTCCATTTCCCCCCACTGAGTGCCTCATATTTTACCGATAGTCACGTGACATGTGCGACAGATACCAGACGGAAAGTAAATCACGTTAAGAATTGAAGAAATTTCGGCTATAAACTGATATTAATCAGCAGCTTTTTAATTGGTCAGATGTCACTGGGTCATAAAATGTTGTTAGAGTATGTTACCGCAACTTGTGACCCTCTCTGGTGCGATATTTGTGTATTATGCAATTATTTAGCGTGAAACGTAGGGGTCCGAGAGAGAACAGCCGATTTATGACACTTCGTTTGATGCGGGTTAACTTTGAATCGGCATAACTTTTTTAATAATCAAGCAATTAACATGCGGTTTAAAGCACATGAAAGGAAATTCATTTACGGAGGGAACTGTGTCATGGATTTTTGTTTGCTCAATCAGCGACTTAATTATCTTTAATTACGTAATATGTATGGTGAAAAAAGTCGCATAAAATGTTTGACGTTACGTAATATTTTTTTGAGAAAAGATAAAAAAAAATTGAGACACGGTTCCCCAGATAATATAAGTATGGTTATTTTCCAAAAGTTTGATGACAAAAAAATAAAAAATGACTTTGATATGACGATTTAAAATTTTAGGATTTTTTTTCAAAATCAATCATTTACAAAGGCATTTTTTTCAAATATGTTATTTTTTATGATGATCAACGATATTTAATGCACAAAGATTAAATAAATAACAATTATTACTAAAATAACTTAGTTTAAATGACATTTATGTGAGTACCACGGAAAGTGTCTGTTGTCACCTTAATATATGGGATATGATATGTTTTATTTGAAATTCTTGTTATAAAGTCCTCTCACGATAACAAGAGAAAGAAATCCAAATTATCACCTAATAATGTAAAGTGAATTGAATTTTTGAACAATTTGGCAGCAATGTACAACTAGCAGTGAGGTGTAGTGAAGATCATGAAATGCCTCATTTATGGTATGTATGAATTATAGACAGGGAAGTTGTTACTTGCTGCAATCATTTCTGAGTGTTTACAAAAATCTTCCCGGTACGACTAGGACATATAATAGAATAACTAACCTTGCACAGCTGGCAACAGTCTTCTTAACATTAAAGATATTTGAAACCATATGAAACATTGATTCTCTTTTATTATAAAAAAATGTGAAAGAAATAAAAGACTAATATAGACGAAACAAAAATTAAAAAATGTTTTCATGACTAAACATCCGGGCATTATATCTTTTAGAAACATTTAAAATTATCTATTTAATTTTGTGTGTGTGATTAAAATACGTGATTTCTATGAATAAACGCGTGTTCGTACTGAGTAAAAATAAGTATATGCATAAATATTGACGGCATTCGACGATTGGGACGGACATATATATCTGGAATTTGCATTCGCTGAAATCTTAAGTACGTTTTCAGGGGAAAAATATGTAGTTAAGCTAGACTATTAGGACTTGAAATAAAAAATAATTTTGAATATGTATATGTGCTTTAGTACGCTTTAAGTTAAACACAAGTTTATAGTTACTTCAAATACTCGTATATTAAGAGAATATTTTTTCGTTTGAGTGAAATATGGAATATATTTTCACGAAACATGATAAAATGCCACATATTTTCACGGGCCGGGAAAAACGAAAAAATAACCTTTTATTTAATCTTATTATCAAAAAAAAAATTGTTACGAATCCCCTTGCTTGCTATGTATCTACAGTTATACAGCGCGCAGTAATATAATTATTATTCATAGATGCGTCTTGTTTTGCACGCGATGTTTAGCGCTACATTGTAACGTCACGTAAACAACACTTAAAACGTCTCTTCAGCGTTAATGACTGAATTAAAGATATTGGTGTTCGGATTTATTTTCTTAGTTAGACCATTTTCTATCATTCTAGATAGTTTTCAAAACAAAACTCAACAAAAAACTGTTTAAAAAATAATAGCAGATTGAGATAAAGTAGTTTTGCGTTGCAACGCAAGAGGGAAAAAACATGTGTGCATGTATTCTATTTTTTAAAAATACGATGATTGTTTTCGAATGTATAACATGCAATAGATTTAAGATTTAATGCAATAATAGCATTAATTAAAATTTGTTTGTGTTGAAGATTTCCGACAATAGATATGCTTGTATTATTATAATCTTAATCAAACTTTTATCACATTATTTTCTATTTGTATTTGAATCATTTAGTTCGGTGAAACTAGTTTTTAAGAAAACATATCGAAGTGAGTGGCTTTATTTAAAACAAAGGAAAAAACTATTAGCATATTTAGTTTGTACATATTCTCATCAGTATTGAAACAAATATGACCTTGTGAAAGCTTGATATTAGTTCAAAAAAAAAAAATGAATTCAACAGACTTCTCCTTTTCTCTTGTTTACATTCGTTTGGTTCGAAGGAAAATACGTCATGTATTTATGTGACGTCATGTAGTGATGAAGGGGTACCCTAAAGGGAATCTTATTTCGACGTTTCTTTTTGAAGTAGAAGTTTAATTTAAAATCGTTTTCCCGGGAGGAAGGGAAAATAAAATTATTACTTTTGTTTGGAGTGATTAGTTAAATTATCCCAAGATAAAATATCCCCCTCGCCTAACGGTCGGGGATAAAAATTTGACAGTAATAACCACATTTTACCCCAAAAAAAAAAAACAATAAATTTTTTTTCACTGGGGGGCAATGTTAAATAAAGTATAATAAAATATAACGTTTTTTCATGAAAATTTATTGTTCCCCGGGTTTTTACCTTTGTAACCAAATAAAAATTTCTAGATTTTTTACAAAAAAACCCCGTCGAAAAAATTTTCGATAACTAAAAAAAACTTCGGCAAATAATTGATCAAAAAAACTAATTTTAAATAAAATAGAAAGAACCCTTTACAGCTACAATATTTTTTGACATCAAAAGGGCGAGTAAGAACTCTTTAAAATGGGAAAGAGGCTTTATGACTACTTGTTCTTGGATAACATACATTACAAACAGTTTATTGAGTAAGAAGTTAAACTAGGTTTCAGTCACTATAGTTTCTGCACTTGTTCTGATACGTTCTAAAAATATTTATTGTTTATTGTCACACATTTTGCAAAGCCACTGTATGGTACTGTAAATCCTGCATTTGGTATTAATATAAAATCACGTGTTTTTTTTTCACTGGCAAATCCTTAAATGTATATCTATCGTTATTTGTTCGTGATATTATAGGCCACTTTAAAGTATATACCTGTTAGGAATATTTTAATTACCACAGACGTAGTGTTATCCAAATTCTAGAAATGTATTGTATTTTAGCAGAAACTTTTAATAACGCGTTTTTAGATACGCTTGCAATGACCGACAACTATTTTGCGCATTTTGCGCATTTCCCTTGACCATGTCCCACATTTCATTTAATTTACCAGAAGCAGGGGGGGGGGGATTGTGCAAAATACTATATTTGTAGTATTCTAGATCTTGAAAGGTTCCAATGCTCATTCATATTGTTTACTATGACACGTGAAACTCGTGCAGGCGGTCGTAGTCAAGCAGTTATTTTTGCAGGCGCCATTTATATTTACTATATCGCAATTCTTTTTTTTCTCTTTTTTTCTGTCTTTCACTCTATATACTAAATAAGAATTACCATTTTGTTTTAAAGTGTTTTTTTTATATTATTTGACTTCTTTTTCTATGTTTTACATGTTTTATGGACATGCTGATGCTTTTGTTTATTTAGTCTTACTGTACTATCTTGTAACGTGACTTAAAATAAATGTGCTTTTGTTGTTATCGTCTAGTTCCTTTGGGTCAAATAATAAACAAAATATTAATAAACATATAAAGAAAACAACAAAACAACAAAATCTCAGTCGAATCCTTTAAACTTCAGTTTTTTTAACAAATTTTTTATAAGGATTTTGGAAACATCTGAAAGTCTAACCTTAAAAACCCACATTATCTAATCAAAACAAAAAGTGGGTTTTTAAAAAGGGGACAAAAATAAACATTGTTTAAAAATCCGGGCAGTGATAGGAACCTGAAATTCCAGTTAACGAACACAAAAATGTTCTTTAATCAAAATGTGGCAGTGAAAGGAAATTTTTATCAAAAAATTTTAAAAACAGTCAAGATTTAAAACATTTTTGTGCTCAGGGTAAGGAAAAGTTTAAAAATCCCGCAAAAACACCTCTTTTTGCCTAAAATATCGTTAAAGCAATGGTTTCCCGAAAAATGCAATAAAATTTGAATTGAAAATTGAATTGTTGATGTGTATATATGAAGCAAACGTCTAACTGATTTTCTTCTCTTAAACGAGTGGTATAGATATCTATATGGAATTATATCAAATGAAAACCTTTGTGAAATAAAGAACACGTGCAAATATAAGCAAAACTCTCCCAAAGAAGAACTTTGAAATAGTGTTTTAAATACACAGACATAGTACGGAAAATAAAGAATATTCATTGCAACGAAATCAATCATAGTTGAGAAAATCAAATTTTGATATTTAGGTTTTAAATTTCAATATTTTAATTTTTACATTTTAAACCTACTATCATCATATTAATTTTTTTAAAAAATTTCCACAAAAAATAATAAAAAAACACTTACTTTAAAACTAAATTTTAAATTTTTAAAATTTTAAAATGCATTTATTAATATTGTTGAAATTAAAGGGAAAATTTTTTCAAAAGTAATAAAAAATTAAAAGTACCTCTCTGTATACGGAATACACCCATCAATGAAAACTTTTTCTCAAATTTTTAAACAGGAATAAACTTGGTAAATTTTTCTCAAAATTTTGTTTAAAATGACCCGCATCTTACCGATTAAATTTTTTTTCAACCGTTACCTTTTTCCCCAAAAAATCATATCACCAAACCCAAAAAGGGATAAACTAAATATACAAACTTTTAAAAATTTTAATCTCAATAACATTTTTAAAATTTTTTGCTTTTTTTTTTTTTTTTTTTTTTTTTATCATTTTATTTACTTTTTTAATTCATGAATTTATCCATTTATGTATTAATTAATTAATTTATTCATTCATTCATTCTTGAATTTATTCATTTATGTATTAATTAATTAATTAATTAATTAATTAATTAAATTATTCATTTATTTATTTTGACAAAGATGACACCTTGCCCAATCAAAAACGTTTAGAAAGATTCATTATAATTGTGAAAGAGAAAATGACTGTGGTTATGAATAAGGAAGCACAGTACATTTACGTTCTTAGAACAAGTGGTTTACCATTACTCTGTCATATGCGTTTAAGGGTAATATCATAGATAATAATTAATTAGCACACACTAAATATTATCATATTAAACTAGTATCTGCAAATAACTGTATAGTTGTTTTTCTTACTATGAACTGAGTCCTAATGAATAATTATACAAAGATCCCGGAAAAGAAAATAAATACATTCAACAACGATATGAAAAGTATAAAACAATTTTAACTATTTTTATTCTAAGCAAATTTAGTATGTCTCTACAAGATTGTACTTAACAAATCTAGGAAAAAATCGACCCATTAAAAATAAATGAATTCATGTTTTATTTGAAAATAAATTCGTGTTATTTTATTTGGCACAATACATTATCATCTTATGGAGAGGCCGATCACGATAACAATCATATTTGTTATAATTTTGTTTCTGCCTTGTTTTTCCCCCGCACTTATTGTTTACACAAGCTAATAAATGAGCTCAGTTTTCTAGCTGAACGGATACTTGTTGATAAAATCCTTCCCACCAAGTCCTTAACATATTTTTCGATGTTTCTTTTTAACTTTATCTTTGCAGGTTTCAAATATGATCATGTCATGTCATTGTCTACCATCAAGTGTCTCAAGCCAAAGACGCGTCCTGCTCTACCTTGAATAATTCGCGGGATGTTATACCAATCAGCCCAGAATAAAAACAAACTCTTTTATCAGTATTCTGTGTCACAAGTTTGTTTAAGACAGCAATAATCAAAATTTTTATATTAACATAGTTTATATTATACACGAGAACTATTTTGTTACATATATATTTACTTTTATGCATAATGATGTGATCTATGTTTTAATTCCTTTTTTAAAGTGATGATAATCATAAATTTTCATCAGTATGTAATTTCTCATAGGTTCAAAATTTTTTTAAAGTTTAAAAGAAAAAAAAACTTTTTTAATACATTTTTAGGCCTTTGAGCCCCCAAAATTTGTTGTACTAATAGGGGATTCATTTTAAAAACAAAAACCATTTTATTTTTGTATTTTTATTAGAATTGCCCCAATGTTTTTACTGTCATGTTTGTGTTCTACATTTTATTTAACCCTAAAAGTTGGTTTTCATTTTCTCCTTTCAAGTGCCAAGTACATGTTAAGCTTATCGTGAATAGTCTCAGCATCTTGGCGGGACTCTTAGGTTTAAATGCAAGTTAACTAGAAAAACTTCTTTACATCCTTCATTGTCATAACTAATACTACTAAAATATGCCATTTAAAATTCAATTGAGTCCCGGCCTTGCTCCATAGTCTAATAATTATGCATTTGTTAATGACTACAACTTGATTTAGTTTAAAATATACTTTATGTTATATAATGTTGGCATGCTCGGATATATTCCGTGATTCCTTTATCCTGAGGAATGAATTGTTTCATTTAAGTTTAACGTTCATGCCACGGAAACACGGTTCCCCTACACAGTAGGTTATGTTGTTCGTGGACGGCTGTCATTACCAGGACGGGTTTGTGATCAATTTTGTGTAAAAAAATGATTTTTACAAATTTGACCAGAACATGGTTCTTTTGTGATATATCGATATGTATCGTCTCTTTACCGTTCTTACAAATTAACGACATGGCTACAATGTATTAGTTTTCCTAGCAAACATACAGCAGTATTGTTGTACCTTTGGTTAGTAAAATATTAAAAGGACATACATGTTAATACTTTATTAACTTGATATTGGTTCTACCTTAGAACTCTACGATAAAGTGGATAACAAACTCGAAATGACTAGTAAGGCCCTCATACCATTACGAGTTTGTGAATAAAATATTCCATGATTATGTCAAATGATATATAGTATAACAAAATAAATAATGATATTCTTAAAACATGTGTATTTTAGGCACATGAATTAAACATTTTTCTTCGTTTCGTTACTTTATCACAGATGCTTTTGCATTGCAGATAAATGCATTGTCATTTGTCTTACAAAGTTAATGGAGACCTTTTGTCAATCAAAGTGTATAGTCCTGAAAATTAGTGACCTTATACCACGTAGTTTAATAATATATTTTTCCAGAATAAGATTATCTGCACATTCTCTTAGGATACGAACATGTAGCTATAGTAAACATATATTACCATATTGCCAATGTTGAAATGTTCTTGATATCGAAGATGAATATCATATTATTCTTGTTTGTCCTTGTGACAATACTTTCCGTAAGATATTTAAAAGAAAAGAACAGGTAATACAGCGGAACGGATAGTTTACGGCGGAGCGGGTATATTTAACGGTGGATTTCGGCGAATTTTCCGTCAATAGAAATTACATTGAATTATATAATATTAACAAAAAGGTCCCGTACCGCTTTCATTTTATAAAGATATAGCGGGGGGGGGGGGGGGGCGGATAGTTAACGGCCGGTGATATTTTTAACGACAGATATACGTCAGTAGAAACTTCATATAACTTCTTACGACGGATTTCGGCGATTTTTCCGTCAGTAGAAATTACATTGAATTATATTCTAGTAGTAACGGCGTTAAGGTCCCGTATCGTGTTCCATACTTTGGTTAAGGAAGACCTCTGTTGCCTTTCTGTAAATTATTCAGGCTTAGGCAAGCACCTGTCTACGGTATGCCGTTAGGGCATCGCCTATGAATGGTTTGATCTGAAACGCGATACTCGACAGTACGATGATGAAAACGCGAAAACACGAAACTACGATGGTGAAAACGCGACAGTACGATGGTGAAAACACGACAGTACGATAACGAAAACGCGATACTAGTAATACGACAGTACGATGATGATAATAAGATAAACTATCGTGTTTTCACCATCATACTTTCGTGTTTTCACCATCGTAATATCGTGATTTCGCGTTTTCATCATCGTACTGTCGTGTTTTCATCATCGTACTATCGCGTTTTCACCATCGTACTATCGTGTTTTCATCATCGTACTGTCGTGTTTTCATCATCGTACTATCGCGTTTTCATCATCGTACTATCGCGTTTTCATCATCGTACTATCGCGTTTTCACCATCGTAGTTTCGTGATTTCGCGTTTTCGCCATCGTACTTTCGACTATCGCGTTTCAAATCAACACATTCATAGGCGATGGCCCTAACGGAATTCTGGAATGCCGTTAGGGCCATCGCCTTTGAATGGTTTGATCTGAAATGCAATACTTGACAGTACGATGATGAAAACGCGAAATCACGAAACTACGATGGTGAAAACGCGACAGTACGATGGTGAAAACACGATAGTTTATCGCGTTTTCATCATCGTAGTATCGTACTGTCGCGTCTCCATCATCGTACTATCGCGTTTTCATCATCGTACTTTCGCGTTTTCACCATCGTAGTTTCGTGATTTTGCGTTTTCACCATCGTACTATCGACTATCGCGTTTCAGAACAACACATTCATAGGCAATGGCCCTAACGGCATTCCGTACCTGTCAAGTGTAGAACCACCAACGTTCAGTAAGCTAGATTGCTAAATGGCTTTCTCGTATATAAAATCAGAGGACGCGTGTGCGACTCGAACCTACAGCGATGAGTAGTCAATTTTACGGAAACGCTTATTAATTGCACGGAAATTTCAGATTCTGAATCAATGAAACATTGCAGGTTATTTAGGGATAATTGTATCTGTTTCATGTACCAACTAAAATGCTTCCATTTACTTAAATTTTAAAATGTCACAAAATACATTTTCATTAATTTAATTTTGTAACCCAAAGGTGTGGTCGTTTGTTTGATGTAAATAAAGTTGCGTACGTATCTGAGTACACTGATTTTGGTTGAATCCCATTGCACGTAGAGCACTTTTGAGTCGGACTCAAACATGCGTTTGACTCCAATATTCGAGGTTACAATGCCTGCAATAAGTGCATATTATTTCGAAATGAAATGTATAATGCTTCAGTTTTTTAAGTTTTTGTTTCAGTCATGATTTTGTTTTTAAAATCGATAACACGGTCGTTTAAACTAATGCAGATTAACACGCTGGTTTTCAATCTCCTTCTTCAACATATAATAACTACGCATTTAAATGAAGTAAGAAAAAGGAGAATGTGCTTAGTAATATTGCGACAACGTCATGAGGTAATGCGACAATACGATAGGTTGTTTCTATAAAGTTGTATCCGCTATCGTCATGCGGGATCATGGGGGAAGTTAACATAGTTAAATCGTGAGATACAACCCAAACTTATAACACATTCATGTAACTTGCCTTATGATAACGCTTCATGGGTACAAAGATCAAGTATCAGAGATTATTTATCAATATGTGTTGTATGTTCAAGTTCTTTTTATCATACAAGTATTTGACATGTTTCCTTATAAATTATTAAAACGATATCGTACATTTTCGAAAACTTGTTATGATGGGTCATTATTCTTTTATCATGTGTATTTATTTGTTTATTATCTAGTATGACCCTGTTGTGTCATTAAAAAAATATCGCAATTTAGGATCTCGACAATGTAACATGAC